GTAAGTTGTTTCTTGAAGTAATTTCCCTCATCCAATTTTACATCATTTTGAGAAGTTGAACGATGAATCAACAAATAGCTCACTACAACTTTTCTACTTCTTTCTTTACTCAAAAAGGAAAAATTTCATGTTCTTTTGGCTGAATAACTGCCCACAAATTAGAACTTCGAAAATGCATTCCCAAGAGATAAACAAGCATTGTTGCAATCAATCACAATGGAGGGGTAAAAAAACTTCGCGTCCTGTTAATTCAAATCAGAAAAGGAATCGCTTATAACTTCAATGATATTATCACCATTTGGTTTTCCAGACTAATGGGTAATCTATAATTGAACCCACTATAAGCTTACCACTATGCAGTCTCCAGAAACTCTGCTGAACTTCATAAGCTGTTGTTGTCGACCTAGTTGATCAGTTCATGTTCTTCAACCGTGACTTCTTTGCTTCATACGCCACTCTCATTAAACCTGTAAAACCATAAAATTTAACTAATTTCACCAAGAAATAGGGCAGCTTTTTTACTAGTTTTCTTTCTAATCTTACTAGTTTCCAAATCAACAAACAAGCACATGTGCCATGAATTCTTACTTTATTGCCACAAGACATGGCAGTTATTTTAAGAGGCATGTTTAATTGTCCCCCTTTAAGGATGTAGTTCGGGCATCTTCAATTGCCAAAGGCCTTCAGCCACCACTCAGAGCATCCTAACACTGTCTTCACCAGTAACTGAAGATGGCAAGGATGAAGGGTTCTTGAGAAACTTCTAGGACCTTAACTTCAGGACCTCAGGGCTCAACAACAATCCAATATGCTAAACCAAAAAATCCCATTATCAGAAAAAACAGTAAATCAAATCTTAAACAACATTCTGAAAGAAATATCCTTGAAACACTTCTAATAAATATAAAATCATCTAAATATTCCGCCATCCTGGAACCAGTTATCCAATCAATCATTTTCTTGGCCGGCATATTGAGCCAACTGAAACAGAGATCTATTATATAAGCATGGGAAGAAAATCCCTTGATCACAGAAGCTTTTTTTGCCTTCATTTATAATAATAAACCTCATTAGATAGAGTATACTAAACTAAAACTAATAAAACTACATAACAGAAAAAATGTATAACAGTTATAAGACCATTTTCCTGTGGAATTTCAGGAGTGACAATTGTTTCAGAGAAGGATTCAACAGAAGGGAGAAGTATAACAAAGCAATAAGAAATACACATACCTCATGAAAGAATCACCGTCTATTGACCCCACAGGCAGAAAATCGGCCCAGTCACGGCAAAGTAGAATGAATGGCTTGGAACAAACTTTGCAGTTATGCAATGCCTATGAATAATTTTGAACTTACTGAATGACAAACTCATTTATTACCAATCAACCACCTTTGATATAGGTAAAATGCAAGGTGGGGCTCCCTCATTTTGCAGTACTTTTTAATAAGTATCTGAAATGGTACATGATCAACCACTAAACCAGATTTTTGTATCTTTAAGAGAAGCTCTTCTGCCTCCTTTGTGTTACCTTGCCTGCAATGGCCTCTGATTAATTCAGTATACGTTATTATATCTGGCTCACATACCTTCTCACCATTTCATCATACAGCTGAAGGGCAAAATAAATATGTCGTAATTTACAAGCAGCACCTATCAACAAATTATAGGTTACATCTGAGAAAATGCCGCTTAAAAGCATTTGTTTTTTGAGAGAATATGCATCATTAATGTTTCCTCCTTTTACTTCTGCATGAATGAAAGCATTAAATGTATATACATTTGGAGCAATACCATGGGCAAACATCTGATCCCTGATTGAGGATGCATTATCGATATCTCCATACCTTCCATAACCATTTATGACAAGGTTCCACATAAGTGGCTCAGGTATGATTGACTTTTCTAACATACTAAGAAGAAACTCATTAGCCTTAAGCACATCTCTATGAATACATAACCCTTCAATAATCATCTTGTATGTAATCTGAGCAGGAGCAACCTCTATTCTTGACATAAAAAACCTCATCAAATCTTCCTTATTTGCAAAGAGCACTCATAGAGTATTATATGTAAAAAGTGTTTACCTCTGGACTCAAACAAAATCCCACGGATGAGGACATTGTATGCAACAATATCTCTTTCTGTATTATTTCAAAGTATTTCATCCAAAGACTGCGGGCTTGAGCGCATCCATTAATATAGTTGAGGTAATCATGTCTGAGGTTGCCTTGTCATTCTCATCACCAAGAATCTCTTCAGGAAGCTTCATGGCATTATCGAAATGACCTCTCTTGCATAATGCATGCACAAGTATGTTACAAGTAACTCTATCTGGCTTTACACCAGAATTAGTCATGGTTGAGAAGAGATAGAGAGCTTTATCCACATTATTCACAAGGCAATATTCCATAATAAAAGTATTGTAAGTGGCACAGTTGGGAGAGGGTCCCATTTCTATCATCTCCCTAATAAGCCAAACTGCCTTGTCCATTTCACCTGTTTTGCATAGCTGATTTACAAGATAATTATGTGTAAGCACATCGGGGAAAACACCTTTCTGTATCATTTTTCTCTGCAGCCATAAAGCTGCTCCCAGCTTCCCCTCAGAACACAAATCTTTTATTAGAGCTACGTATCTAGTTTAATCAAGATCCAAAGTGCACTGTGTAAAGCCTATCCTTCCCAAAGATATGCTTTCCCTACACCACAAGGCAAGTAACGGAACATGTTGTCAGTTCTGTAACTCATGAAATCATTTATAAGATACTCAAAATACACAGCATAGATTATCTAAAGCTCTTATTTGAAGGTTAATCC